GTTATTATGATTCAACTTATAGTAAAAATAAAAATAAAATCTTGAAAGAGAGAAGAAAAAAAAGAACAAATGAGAAAAGCAACTATCAATTCGACAGTAATATCTATTCACATTATACACAAAAATTCCACTCACATATAGATAGATAAAGATATTTGAGAAAAAAAAACAGACACACGACTATGACATAATTTGATGAAGAAGTATACAAAAACATTGTTTTATTTATTTCCTGTCTGTTTTTATTCGATACTTATTTTGTAGTTGTGTGATATGTATGCGCCTAAATCACAGATACTAAATTGTGTAATGGATATATGCAAGAATTTTGTAAATTCAAAGAATATTTAACATTTAAAACAATGAGTCCCTTTGATGACTTTCGATAATGCAATGAGAAGACAAAGCTTATCAGAATTATGTGATATATTTGTGCAATACTAAGGTTTATTGAAGCCTTGGCTATATGGAAATTAAAACCCCCTTTATGCGTTCAAAAACAATTTGTCCTTACACTTAACTTACCCTGGTAATATTGACTTATTATCCAAAGTGATAATCTTATTTGTTTTTCACTGATTAAAATAATGAGTCAATTGAAAACCTTGGAGCACTGAACAGCCATTTCGTTCTAGTATGGGGCTCCTCAGCAGTGCGCATACACGATCTCGCACCCCACAGGATTCGAACCCGGGACCTACTGGTTTCGCGCGCGAACGTTTAACCATTAGACCACAGAGCCGGTATTCCACGGTGTTAATGTCTAACTTCAACCAATCCACCAAGTTGCGCCACCGTACACCATTGTCTTCAGTGAGTTGATATCTCACAACAGACCTAGTTGGACTGCACTGGCAACGACTTCTCACTAGAACTCCAGGAAATGCCTCTTGACATCAGTCACTAGTGAGTAGATGATTATTATCAGAAGGGGTGGTCTAGCTTAAATTGACTCATGATTTCAATCAGTGAAACTTCTAAAATCTCCACAAAACCCTTCCTGACATTTGTTTTTGTGTACTTTAATATTTTTTCCCTTTGTTTTGACTTACCCTTAACCTGTCTAGTTGACCTTTTAATTTTCATATATAAATGTTCTTAACAAGTATATGTGTGGTCAGATTGTTCGAAATGTATTGCGCTAATATACCACATAATTCTGATAAACTTCGTCTTCTCATTGCATTATCGAAATTTAAAATTTAGTTTTTATGTGTATGATGATTCTACAGTTATCACCTATAATCTTTTAAGATGAAGCCTCAGAGTATTTTATTAAAAAGTAAGATATATATATATATATATATATATATATATATATATATATATATATATATATATATATATATATATATATATATAGTTTCTATTAAAATCAATGTTCATTTGTATTTTATTCGAATAAAGAGGACTGTAATCAATAGAAAAGCAAATAGTACGTGGTGTTATCTATTCTTAACTTTTCCCTTGTAATTCCACTAACTTCAGATTGAGTGAAATTGTAAAGAATTTTCATAAAAAGAACTATTCTCTTCAAATAACGTGGTGTTCAAATTGGATGGTTATAATGGTCAAATAGGTCAGTCAGTCAATCAATCAGCTATAATAAAGGACCAGGCACATATATGCATCGGTCTAAGTTGTCACACCTCATTAGCACAACAAGATCAACAAGTGCATAGAAGTAGCTACTTCAATGGTGGTAATATAGATTGAATAGAAGGAAATAATCAAGATAGGAAGATTAGTTCGTAGCAAGAAAGATATAAAGCAATTTTAATCTCATAGTTTAAGTGAAGATAAAGAGTGTATACACCTATGTCATTATGATCGATCCTGGGCCATGTCACAAACAGTTTCAAACCATTGATTATGATAATCATGCGGACCCCAACCGAGAAGTCTGCATCCACCAACATGGCTCAAACGAGAAGTTAATAACTTCAAGAACTGATACCACATTTGGTCTTGGAACACCTAACTTTCTTCCATCTGTCTCCAACACTATTCACCGCGGTAAAATAGGTAAGCTGAAACGACTAATCTTTTTAACGAAATTAAGGAGTATAGCTAAAATTAGTGATTTTTTAGTAGTGTGAACTATACTAAAGCACATAGATCAGGTGAGTCAACTCAAGGCAAATGATACGTAAAGCAATCATTACTAAAATATTAGCCCAATTAACATATACACAGCACTGCCTACTGTAGCACCAAGCAGATGATTGTTTATTTCCAGTAAGTAATAATTTTAAGCCCAAAGAAATGCATTGTCTAACCTCTTGACAGTAACTTTATTTAGTGCACTATAAAGAACGATAATGGTTATCTTACATAGAACTTTATCGATCTTGTAGATCATAGTTTTAATTAAATATTTATGTAAAATTACAGTCCGATGGCGATAAAATGTAAAGATATATGTCGACGAAAATCATCTAAGTAAGTTTCACTATATGATCCAGAAATATTTTATTGTCATAACTTAGTTTCAATATGCATTTTACAAAAGAATGTATGGTAAGCATTGTTATTTGACGTCAACATAAATTACGTTAATCAGGTAATCGATGTATGTAAAGTTTGTAGTAGTTGTAGATATACACTATTGTTGTTGCCATTTCCATTTTTACCCTCATCATTCGAAGCCTGTAAACTTGCAGAGTTACATTGGTTCAGTCAATATTTAAATCATAAGTAAAAATATTTATGATACAGTAGATTAATATAAGTGATAATGTGTGTTATATTGATGCTTGTTTCAACTTTCTGTTCATTTTTTATTCAAATCTTTTTTTCATGTTGCTGAGAAATATATTTGATCATCGTAGAAAATGTAGTGCTTTGTTTTAATAATCAAAAAATATTTACACCATTCAACACCTATACAAATATGGTGGTAACCAGTTTAATTTAATTAATCAATAAGTGAATGATATTGTTGTACGTTAATATGAGCAGGTGAATTTCAAATTTTTAGAGAGAAATTACTTTTCACACTGGTTTACTTGTTACGTTTAATTGTGTTTTAATTTAATTGTTAATAATGATAAGATTTTGAGACCTTTTACTATATGAGGCTATGGATTCTAGTGTTTTAACCATAAAAACGATTAATTGCAGATTATTGGGCACTATGATATATTGACTTAACAATTGGATGAGAGATATCAGTCCCATCCTATTCTTGAGTATAATAAGAACTTTTGGTCGTTTTCAACTTATTAACAAATCTTAACTATATAAATGAAAATAATTGTGAATATCAATTCAACTTAACAGTTAAAGAACAATCTAATTAATTAGAATAGTGATAGAAAAATACAACTAAATAATATCCAAGAATAATTGATCAATGTTCTTGATCCTAGTTTGTACAATCATCATTTACTCAGAAAAAAAAAGTATATTGAATAGCATTTTTAATATTCTGTATTCGGATTATTTTTATCTATTTTTATATGTAATGAATATACTAATGACACTATTATATAACATGTAGTAAGTGTAATATTAATAATAATAATAATGTTAGTTAGCTATCCAAGCAATTCTGACCATTTGAAATTCCAGTTTATTGATGAACTAATATTATGTACATTTTGTTAGAATAAGGATAAGCTCAAAATGATATTCACTTATCTTGTAGGAAATTTATGATTTCGACTATCACCATGTATGAGTTTATTCTATCTGTTTTTGCTATTACTATATATGTAGAATTATACTTATTATTCAGTTTAAATCTATATCATATAAAGTTTGGTACAAAAGGATCCTAAAATAAACGAGATAAGTTAATATAATTATGAAGAAATGTAAAGAAATCAGAATATATTCACAATAGATTTCAAATGAGAAAATGATAAAAAGTAATGTCTTCTTTAGTTCAAATAGTTCATCTCACCTGAATGAAGTGTGATCAACAAACTATAGCACGATCGATTTCATTAGTCATTCGTGATCATTTCTTATATAGTCATAAATCACTGATTTAAAAATTCATTAGGATTAAAGATTCGTAATAAATCATAAGTTGGGATTTCCGTAAAGATTTCATTTTACAGCCCATATTATAAGCTGATCACTTTTCTGCTTCTTTCATCTAATCCCATCGTCTCAAATAATTTTCAATATGGAAGCAACTAAGTCGAAATTCGGAAAATATATCACACCAAAAAAAGTTGTAGTTTTAAGATAGTGATGTTAATTAAATGATTGTTAGTGTACTCGATCACACACTACCTGACCAAAATATTACTTGAACTGCATTATAACCAAATGTGGGTAATCTTTCAAAGACAATAATCAATAATCTAAATAACCTGTCAAACATTCTCAGCTACTGAAAGTTAGATTTTATTGACAAAAAGAATAGATGGTCCTAATAACGCGTTCTACACAGAATTATCTATAGCTAAACTTACTGTGCAATGGATCTAGTTACAATTTATAATGACATAAGCAGTTAACCAGTCAAGTCAACACTATCAACCACGTAGCTACATAACTATGCAAATGTCTTCAATATTTTCGAGGGTTTACTAAAATGTATGAATGTAGCTTCATTGTCTGAGCCGTCTTGAAGAAAAAAATTATATTTTAAAGACATTTAGTTGATGTCATACTAACACAAATCAATCGCTAACCGACCAAGTAGAATTTAGATAGATTGTCTAAGTCATTTGTATGCTAGACGTAAAAAAGTCGTTCTCAAGATAAAACAACCACAATATCACTAGAATCCTCTATTTAGAATTATTCTATAATATAACGTATAAAAAAACAAACAAAAATGGTGAGATTCAACTTCACTACTACATTGGAACAACGGGTAGTTTTATGGCCGTATATATAACATGAAGGCGCTCCAATATGAATGACTTTATATAAAAAAATGATCCTAATTTACGTGTTGCTCTCTAAATACACATAAAGTGAAAGTTTTCATAAACTAACTAACTAAACATGGTTGTCTTATAGTAATTAATGTTACTGACCTTGATAAGTTAGAGTTTTCTATGCTCATTGATTCATTTGCTATCAGATTTTCAATTTTATCGTTTTCTACAGACTGTTTCTGTTCTCTTCGTTTAGCCTTTAGATACCAAATAGAAAACAAAGAAAGATATTAATTTTAAAAGAAACTTATCTAATTCTATATTCGTTTTAGATAAATTAAGGATGCCGACACAGTGGTCTAATGGTTAAGCGCTCGCGTGCGAGACTGATAGGTTTTAGGTTCGAATCTGGCGGAGGGCGGGATTGTGAATGTGCACTGCTGAGGAGTCCTATACTAGGACGAAACGGCCGTCCACTGTTTCCAGGTTTTCTATAGTGGTATAGCTTCAATTGACTCATGATTTTAACTAGTGGAATGAGTAATTATCAAGAAGTAATTGAAATTACATATGTAAATCGATGGATATTGTCTCATTGATTTAGAAATTATGTACTCACTTTGAAATCTAAAGATCCTATGTTCGATTCTTAAAAGAAATTGTGTATGCATATTATTGAGAAGTTGTATGTTATAACAAAAAGAGAGCTGTCAAGTGCTTTCACTGATTCTTAAACTAAAATCAATCAATGATGTAATCTATGAAATTGATAAAAATTTCACCCAGTATTTATTGTTTTTCACTTATTCATCTAGCTAATTTATTACATAATAATAAACACGTTTTGTTAAAAATAAAATTAAAGACTATATATTAACTCAGCATAAACTTTAGAATTAAAATGCATATATACAAGTTAGTTGTTGATTAAGAAAATTTCATTGGTTTTCATACTAAAAATTCCCATATCTTTATATGTGGTCTTATTATATAGAATTACATGGGATGACATGACAGGAGGTACTAGTGAAAATTGTGGAGCACTGATCAACCAGTTGAATCGAATTACAAAATATGATTCCAACTGTTTGATCTAATCAACTATGTGAGAAGTGTGAATAGGGAACTTTAATCTTTAAACAGAATTCAAATGTACATAACTAATGTATACACACATATGTGTATCTCAGACAGGGATATGTAACTCTTGATCTCGGTCAGATGAATAACTAGCAATAAATTTTTTACGATGGTATTTCATACCTATCATAGCATACGATCTTTTTGATTTTTCAACGAAATTTAAGCTCTCTTAATTCATCCGACGTATCCGCTAAATAACTGTACTGTTCTTTTGTGGGACTCCTTAGAAGTGTATAATCATGGCCAGGAACAAGATCGAACCCCAAATATTCAAGTCTTGTGATGAATATATAACCTTTAGGCCTTTGAATATAAATGCAAAAATCTGCACCTGATTTGTTTTATAACGTAATGGTAATTAAGCATCAGAGATGAAAAACTACATTATTAAAGATGTACTGAGCTGTATTAGTCACAACCTCTCACTAAAACTTCACGAATTTATCTTAAAATCAGTTATCTAATTAAATTTTATCAGATGTTCAACAGAAGAATATCAGTGTGTTTTAATATTTCACATTTCTGAAATGTTCAGTGTTATTTATCAGAAACATTGAAGAAATTTTTCTATACCAATCAATCTTTGTTTAGTTGATCACAATTTTTGACGCATAAGAGGTGATATAATAGACATTTTCAAGTCAGTGTCAGACTATTTCTAATTCAGAAGAATTATCCTTTATTACTGTTATCTGTGCCAAATTTACGAAACATGACCTTCAAATGTAAAACCATGGGTTGTATGTGTATATACTGGTAAACGTAACCAATATAACAGAAAGGATCATTGTAAGACACTTGTTTTTTCAACCTCAATTTTGATGATCCATCCATATAGTCTGTTTCAGATAAACACGATAAGATATGATTTGTCTACCGAAAACGTTTTTAACTTTAAAACACTATATATTTTTTTTTATTACCAGTAGATTGTAAGAATTTCTGCGATCAGTTAAGTAAAAGATTGATGATTGTTATGTGCATGAAAACGATACATGTAAGTTGGTGGTAAAATTAAAAAATGGACGGTTACATGTAACCTTATCATTGTTTAAATAAAAAACATTGTAAGTTTATTGTATATTTCATTCAATATCTGGATTAAAGTAAACTTTATTAACAAAAATGAATGGTTATACAGCTAGCTATCTAGTTGGTTATAATTAACAATTTCAAAACGATGAATAATTTTGTGAATTTGATGGTTTTATTTTTTATCAGAATGGATTTTGCGGAGATTGTAGTAATTTTACTAGTTGAATACATGAGTCGATGTAAGCTAGACCACCATTGAAAACCTGGAAACAATGAACGGCCGTTCAGTCCTAGTATGGAACTCCACATCAGTGCGCGTTCACAATCCCGCATGTATGATTTAAACCCGAGACATTCGGTCTCGCGCGCAAACACCTAAATCTCCAGATCACTGAACCGGCATCCAACGGTATCAGTGTCTAACCTTAATCGATCCATGAATAGCTACGTAATCATTCATCCATTGTCTGAGATAAATACTTATCTTTACCCGACATGGATTGAACTATACTAGTCAGAACTTCTCACTAGAACTCTAGGAAATCCACCTTGAAGCCAGTTACTAGTGAGCATATAATAATTATGATCAGAATGAGGAATTGTGGATATTGTAGCAATTTTAATATGAAGTTGATGATTTTATTTTTCATAATTATTATAAAACTGAACTATGTATATTTTACAAATCAGTGTTGACATTCATTAACTTGCCCCTAATATGATTTCCTCTTTCTTATATTCAATAATTAAATCTATGAGATAATTCACAGTAAGTGTTTTAAAGTTTTTAGTAAAGTTGAATGATGACTAACTATGGAACCAAAGGAGAGTGTTTTGTCCTATTTATAACTTATCAACTTTTAGTCTCTGTAGATTTATTTAAAAAGATATTTTTAGCATTGATTATAGTTCAATAATTAAACACTTAAAAAACATAAACTAAGGAGATTTTATATCCAACGAATATGAAATAGGGACAGAGAAAATTTCTAATCAATAATAAGGAATAATTAACATAAGAATGAAACAAAGTTAATTAAGTCAGCAATTCATAATTTAAATATATACAGATATCACAACTATTCAAAAGAAAAAAGAATTCACTTGAAGATCTGCGATAATATTTGGTTAATCAGACTGATTTTGTATACTTATGAGATTGCATAGGAACAAGTTAGAATATCACTGGTTGAAATCATGAGTCAATTGAAGCTAGATCACCATGGAAAACCTGGGAGTACTGAACGGCCGTTTCGTCCTGGTATGGGATTCCTCAGCAGTGCGCACACACGATCTCGCACCCCACAGGATTCGAACCCAGGACCTATCAATTTCGCGCGCGAGCACTTAACCACTAGACCACAGAGCCAGCATCTAACGGTGTTAATGTCTAACTTCAACCAATCCACCAAGTTGTGCCACCGTACACCATTGTCTTCAGTGAGTTGATATCTCACAACAGACCTAGTTGGACTCCACTGGTAACGACTTCTCACTAGAACTCCAGGAGTGTCTCCTGAAGTCAGTTATTAGTGAGCAGGTGATTATTATTATCAGAATGTGTTTTGTGGAGATTTTTAGAACTTTCACTGGTTGAAATCATGAGTCAACTGTATGCCGGCTCAGTGGTCTAATGGTTAGGTGCTCGCGCGCGAAACTAGTGGGTCCTGGGTTCGAATCCCGCAGGGTGCGGGATCGTGTATGCGCACTGCTGAGGAGCCCCATACCGGGACGAAACGGTCGTTCAGTGCTTCCAGGTTTCCCATTTAGGTCTAGCTTCAACTGAGTCATGATTTCAACCACTGAAATTTCTAAAAATCTCCACAAAACTCATTCTGAAAGTTAGAATGTCGTTATCTTAAATGGTTTACACATACAACTTTTTACTAATTAGCTATAATTTTGATACATTTTGAACTAATTTTAAGTAAGGTGAAATGATGATAACGTTATTGTCCTCAAAAAATTACATAGTTCACATTAAAAGTAAGAAAAGTTAACAGAGATGCATTAAAAAACGAAAGAATAGTAAGTCCAATGTTCAATACTAGCTGAGTTTGGTCAAACTAATTGATGATCATATAATATACTTCAAATAAAAGAAAATATCAGAATACTATTTGAGTTTTTTTCAAAATGAATTAATTTCATAGAACAGATGGTAAACAGTGAGATCTGGGATAAGTTTGGGTTTATCCACTAGATATACCTGCATACCACTGTTGGTGTCCACAATGTGATTCTAACTTATTGCTTATTGCTGAAAACATATTATACACTAAATAAATTAGTACAGATGACCATTAATTAATTCAAAGGTTTACATTATTCCATTATTGATATTAAAGACTGAATTTAAGCAGAATCCTTCCATGTAGCCATCTATACTTCAAACTTTCTGATATTGTGCTTATAAAATGTAGGATTATATTTAGACTGTATCCGTGAACGGTATAACGTTACTCATCAACTTCAAATGGTTTAAAGTTATACGATAAACATCAATATAAACAACGTTTTGTATATTGTGATCAGTGAAATTGAGTTTAAAACGATATATAAACAATAAGAGGAAACAAAATATTTGATATAACACTTGGGATTGATTAAATTTTAAATCTTGACGATGAAGTTATTTAATTAATAAAGAAACTGTTAACAAGTAAGTGGTAATTAAGCCAATTAATTACCATTGTTCACAGAGCATCAGTGGAGCTGTTGGTTTTGTATAATCAAATTTAATGTAACTGACAAACGTTAAAACAAGATTATCATTTTACCATGGAAACAGGAGGTTCATTACACTTTCTTTTTGTAAACTAGGGTCTGGTTGAAAGCGCTTAATGACGACGGGTTCTGTAAATTGGAGTAATAGCGGTATTTGCAGCTAGTCAAATACTTTAAACGTCTTTATGATGTTTGTATTATGTCTACTTATTCGCTAAATGTCTAGTGAGCACATTTGTAGGCGCTAGACTTCATATCAAACAGAGCTTTTGAGGAATATGTTCAGAAAACCTTTCTTTCAGTTCTTTCTCTGTTTTTACTTCAAAAGGTATTCGTGAATTCATAAATACATTTCGAGATGACTTCGAAAGAGGAATAACCCACTTTTGATTGGTTTAGGAAAGACATTCAGGCCTTACCAAAACTTCTTTAAAGCACTGTTTTAAACTTTTTATCAAATCCCCATGAAATCTTTTCACCATAGGATGTGAGATGGATGAAAACAGTTTCATTTTGTTAGCAGCTATTTATTTAGGATCTTGCTGAACATCTTCCCGCAGTTCAAAACAGATTTCTTCGAATTTCTACTTTTTTTAGGCACAAGGTAATGTTCAAATAACAATTTTCACCTCACTAGCAACTACTTAATAATAAAGTTTTCTAAGCTTTATCACATTTAAAAACAAGATTGTTTTACGAGACCCTTTTTTTAGACAAACAATTTCTTAATATCAATTTTAACTCAACAATCACCACAATTCTATACTTATAGTTTCAAAATAGTTAGGAGCCGCGTTTCGCTTTTCAGTCCAACCCGAACTTCTTCAGGGGAATAATCAGAAATTGAAATTATTTGTTTGATGAGTAGATATTTGATAATGAAAATTTAATAGAGATTTTCGATCAAATCGTCCTTTTGCTTATTGCTGACTTTGAAGCAAATTGTTATTACTTTAATGAAATGATAATACCTTTTAAAAACCACATCGTCACAGAAAAAGACTTTATAATTTAATCGTTATAACTTCAATCTACTCAACAGTGCACGATAACATTCAACTTACAGAACAAAATCCAAGGATTTCAAGTTACTTAAACAAATTCATGGATTTAATGATTAATGTTTTCTATCCTTAGTCAATTTGCTGCATAATTTGATTAACATCCGATTCCGTTATTGTCTACTTAATCAACTTCATTGATATAATTTCCCTGTTGTAACACTATATAATGCACTTCGAAGTTCACAATTAGCAAACAAATAAATGAGAACTCATTAGATTTGAAGTACTTGTTCGAGTTTTTGTTGTTGTTTATTTCTTGTCAGTTGTACAACAGATGAAAATCCATTTTCATATAGTTACTTGTGTGAACATTATTAGTGAACCGTTGGATTTAACAGTATATGATAATTTGTCATGTTATGTTATCAACTGACAGCATTATCATTAGCACAAACATTACCTAATCGATAATTTTAGACTTGATTAAATCTCTTTGAAACGAGAAAGTTAATTAATAATATTTACTATATCACTTGGAAATTATATTGTGTTTCAATCGAATCACACTTAACAGATACGTTAGAAAAAAATAATAAAGATTAGAAAGATGTTTTCTTAATCAAAAAGTATATACATACTTGTAAGACAGCTCCATCTGTCATCAATGAAAACTTATCACAAATATTTTGATCAATAGGTGGTAAAAATCCTCGTCCAGATGAAGCATCTAATTCTCCAACTTGATTAACTATTAAAAATTTATCTTTAAAATTAACATTTTGTACAGATTTTCCTAAATTTGTTTCATTATTAGCTGAATTATTTGTTTGACGTTTTGTTGTACTAATATTTGAATTACTACTTGCAATTTTTGAACCTTGAACAGTTCCACCACTACGTGAACTACTAGATATAGTTGAAACTGCTACAGTTGTAGGTGAACGACTTCCTGTATAATCGCTTTGTCTACTTAATTGACCTTTTGTTTCATCTAATTGAACTTGAAGTGACCTAAAATGAAATAATTAGACAAAATTTAGAAACTAATCAATGCTTCATTTGTTTTTGAATTTTTTCTCTAGAAAACTCTTCAATATAAGGTTTAGTTAATAAACGTAGATGAATCTATCAAAGTCAGATAAACTGTCAAAGAATATAATTAAAAGTCTATAAAATAAAACAATAAAAACTTAATAACAACTCATTATTGTTCTTACCAACATCATTGTCCAGACATTTAGTGACCATCGCAACACTTTAAAACTTAGAATTTTTTTAAAATTATGTGTAATACAAAGTCATTTCACAAAGAATACAGGTTTATAGACCAAGAAAGAGTTTGATAAATATTTTCATCATAAATTATTATCATCCTTAGGACTATAGCAAATTAAGTGGTTTTGGACAAATTTTTTTATGTAGTTCATACCGAAAATGTCCCACAGGTTTAACTTTGAACCATTATGTTTCAACTTTTGTTATCAGGATAGAATTATAACGACTACCAGTTGAACTTCAGCTGAACATTCTGTTTTAAATTAGTCAGTACTAATGGACAAATTGAGAAGACAATAAACGGTCCTTACGTGAATTTTATAAAAACCTTCGCGTTTTTTCATCATTGTATGTTTTATTGACAGATTTATTGGAATTCATCTTATTTTCGTACATTCGTGTATCGATTTCTGTCAAGTTAACTAAATTGAAACAGTTAAAAAGTACTACACAAAGAGGAAAGTACAAAGTCTACTGAGATTTTGTTTTAAAGATATCTTGATTACTTCGCACTTACATTATTATTTTTAGAATCTCATGACCCTGTATAATAAATAAACAGAGAATCTACGGAGCATAATGGAGTTTTACAGTTTAATAAAATTTTCACAACAGAAAGTACTACCCAAGCAATAAGAGTATTCATTTTAATTCAGAATATTATCCTATGAGAAACACTGAGAGATCATTTAAAACAAGTGTACAGCGGAATTGAAACTAGCATAGATTTGTTACAAAATGAAAATACTAGTGATTTTGATATTAGATTCTTAGTGTTTTGTTATGTCCACAGTAATGTAAAACTTCATCATAACAAAATGCTTTTAGGTAAACAATAATTGTAAACCAGGAAATACTAGACGGCTTTTTCATCATGATATAAGATTTTTCAGCGGTGCTCATCCACAAACTCAAAACTTTCAATCTAGAAGTGAGCAACAAGTTCTTATCCTTAATTTATCATTATCCTGTTATAAACATACGTACACAATAATCAGAAAAGCAAAACAAAGAATAAATGAAAATCATAAAACAGAAAACAGAATATTTCCAAAATCAATACATCAATATATAGGTCATACTGAATTCACAAGCCAAAACTTGTTTTCATAATTACTTCTATATTAACGATATAAACAAAACATTCGTTCAATTGTTTTGATCTTAATTGGGTTGTGTTTTTTTTACGTTTGAAAATCAGTAAGTTAGACAGAATGAATTTACATATCCATATCATCAATCATTAAGATTGAATTACTCTAAATTAATTGAAATGATTATTAAGTATGATCACTACAATACATTTAAAACAAATGAAACAGTAAATAATGACTAAACTTTGAACTGAATTATTGTATTACATTTCCAGTTTGAGTTAAAATTTCATATGTAGATTTCAGAATTATTGATTTATGTACATTACTAGTTTATAAATAAAGTGTAGGTGTAGATGATTTAGTCATAGAATACTATTAGCTTGGTTGAATTGTAGTAATTACAATGAAGTTCAAATATGTGAACCAATAGCTGAAAGTTTAGTGTTTCAACTATGAAGGTAAGTAAATGTTGAAAAAAAAATATTTACAATTTATTTATGATAACTGTTAATGTAAGGACCATTCCATCAATGCGTAATCATAACAGTGTTATAATTATCTACTTCAGAAATTTCATACAACATTCTTGGATCTATTAACCATAATTGGTAGTAATAAATTTTGATCAAGGTGAAATTAAAACATTCTGGTTCAAGATAACAAATGACTAGTTAATTAAAAAAATTGAAATGATTGAAATAATTCTATTAGGTGCTATATAATTGTTTACCATCAATCATAACTATCGTATTACACAATCTATTCTACTAGTTGAGATTTTTCAAATCGATTATGAACATATTGATCACAAATGTTGTTAGGGAAATAAAAGCGGTTGTTACTATGCAATCGCTTAAGCAGTGGAAAAGTATTTTTTTATTGAAGTACCTATTATAGAAACTTTGTTAAAAATGGTCTTAAAAATTTGGAGAAATGACTATAATGCTTAAATATCAACTGCTTACGGTTGATTACAAATGGTCTGTTTGTGAGTAGTTTTAAATGACATTATTTCATACATACAGAAAAATTCAAATTGATTTGAGGTATATTATATTTAAAACTAATCTATTCTAACCCCATAATTCTGTTGTTAAAAGACAACAAAGCTACAAATGTTAGTTGTTATGGAAAAATTTATTACTATTATCACAACTCTGAACAATCAGAATTTCCACTTTGCTCTCTAATTATATATTTGTTCCTTTTTATCTTAGTGTTCTTTATCTAAACTACCTATCATGATAGAGTATAAAGAAACAAGTATCGCATCTTGCTTAAATACAAAAAGCTGGTTACGTAACTAAACTTTCAACATCAATTTTTCTATTCCTTTTTATTATCTACCTTAAAGTTTAGAATTTATCTGAAGAGAATGAGTTTAATGAATCATTGGAATCTTATTTGAATATTAAGTAATATATATATATCAACAAGATATTTGTTCTTTTTCTTTTTGTAAAAAGAGATTAAATGAGTTAAAAAATCTGTTTTCTTATAAAAACAAAAACATCATTAACTACTACAAATAAATAAGTAGATTTTGCTTTGTTTAAAAAAGAAACCACCTTTTTTCTAAATATGATTGATAATTCCAATACTTGGTTTACATTCCATAATTCATTTAAAATGTAGATTAGTTTACTTATCTAAGTTTGCGTGATGTATAACGATTAGTTAAAAATCATAAATTATTTAAGAATAACTATATTCAATAACAATAATAGTAATAGTAATATATTATACCCATTGAATATATGTCTACCACGAATCAATAATCTAGATAAAGTGATGGATTTTAAGCTGAATTCTTAAATTGAATAACTACAAGATGACAAGAATACTTAAGTAATAAGTTTTAAAATAAAATAAAACATAGATCCTCGTTTCCACTCCTAAACCCTGTTCATAATATATTCAGCTTATAGATACAAACAATATTTAGGTATCCAATCACGTAAATATTATGTTAACAGAGAATAATCATTTTCATGGAAATAAAATCCCTTACAAATAATAAAGTTTTATAGAACGTTTAGTCATTTATTGTCTTGATATTAGTTAGATGATACGAATGTAATATATATAAAGTACTTAGACACAGGTACTTTAGTAGGCAACCTTCTTAAACCTTTAGGATACCCATTTTCTGAATTTCCATGTATTATAACAGATTTTCATAACTTGGATTAACCTTGAATAATTGTTTATAAATGACATATGTGTGTTAATTACTTTAGCAATTTTATAAAATACTTGTAAACTGTTGCGATATTTCAACAGAAACACAACGATAGCTGACTTTGAGCTTTGTAAAACTATAAGACAATTACTTGCAATTGATGCATAAAACATATATTAAACACAATTAATCCAGTGAAATATTTACTATAACCAAATATTTAGTATCAAAAAAGTGAATACTATCATTATTATTATTCCATTAGACAGAGGGTTCCAGTCATTTCGGAATTTCATTTGATTAGAAATTATGTAGATAAGTTAAACGGCAACAATCGTGCAAAAACGGTATTTTAAAGGTAACTGATATTATCAAAGAAACATTTCTTCTGGAAATTATTTATTTATTTTCATGTAGATTCCTGGGTAGCTCCTTCTGAGTGGTAATAAACTAGACTTAAAACAGCGTTTTAACACTTTATTAGGTCTACTTACTAGTTGACACATTTATGAAGTATTCCGCAAAAGAAATATCTTAAAATCCCGCCACTGTTAATAAATTCTATCAAACACCAGTTGAACTGTTTGTTTTATTTTTTTGGTAGCATTCAAACCTTTTGTAGCTTACATTGCCAAATGATATTAGTTAAACAAGAAGCAGTAACCAGCAAGTATTTGAATAATGTTTCGTTCCATTATGGGACTCTTCAGTAGTGCAACTCCACACTATCATCCAGGATTGATCCCAATACATACGGTCTAAAGGTGAGCATTTCAAATATAGGCCGCAAAATTTTGTATCCAATGGTTTACTAGAACAAAACAGTTGTTCATTTCTTCCTTGTTTACAGGTATTGTTTAATTAAAGTCACTCTATAATGTTAACTACGGAATGCAACAATCTCTACAAATTTCCACACTAATAACAAGCATTTGTGGTTACGTATAATAAATGAACAAATAATCAAAACAAAAGATGCGGTCCAAATGTAATGTTAACGATGAAAACCATTATCGTTTTGTTTAAATACACTAGGTAATTTCTCAGCATTATATATATGTTAAACAACAATACAATCATATTGTTTTACCGGACTATTCAACGGCGAAATTCGGATGGAAAAACAATCAAATTTGTTTTCAAAATAATAGCGAATAAACGCGTATTTCTCTCTGGCCTATTTTTGTAGTCAAAAAATTTACATTGCATAATATACATTTGAAGTAATATGATATATAATGTTTGTATTTCTCTTCATTAAACCAGCGATTGTAACAGACTTTAAATCCAGACAACTGAAAATTAATGTTATCTACTAAAATATTAATATATATATGCTGAATCAAGCTTCAGCTTAACAGGAATGTAAAAAGCCTGGAACAGTTGTCAGGATTATCATCTATGATATAAAAATATTTACTATTCGTATAAACCAAATAATGTTGTACAAATATAAG